CTGGAGGGCACGTTAAAATATGTAATAAATATCCCCGTAACCTCAGTGCATGAGCGCGTTATTAAAAAGTCTGACCTGATGTCAGAAGAATCACTTGCAGGAAATATTATAGATCAATATCAATAAGTAACGGATATCAACGTGATTAAGACTCATTGCAAACGCAAATAGCGTTCACAGAGGCAGAGAGAGACAGAGGCAATCAGGTGAGAGTCTGTAATCATCATTTCAGGGAAAGTCAGGGAGAATTCAGCTGAAATGAAAACAAATAGTTTTTTTTCGCCCATTAAAAAACTGGGTTGTATTTTCCGCAAAAGCTCCAGGAAGTGACATATGCGCGTTCTCAACGTTCTCCTCACTCCGCTCCACTTAGAAAGATCAACAGTACAAACTCATCACACACTCCCGGTCTTCACCTGCACAACCAGAGGCCGCCTTCCACACACTTCTATCCGCTCTAGGTTACTACAAATAAACAACACAGACTCCTTCACAGACTTTCACATGTGTATGACCACTTACCTCCTCTGTAAACAATATGTCGGTAAATATCCAGTGTTTCACAATGATGATGATGCTTGTTTGTGTACATACGAGCACGTATGATGAGCATGCAAGGGAGAGCGAGCAAAAGGTTACTGGTGCAGTTCAGCTAACGGCCATGCGGTATCGCTACAAACGCAGTATTTAAGTTACATATAGCCCCTTTAAAAAATATCGCAATATAAATTGCAAAAACAAAACTATTCTAATGTCATTTTTTCCCCAAAATCGTGCAGCCCTAATAGAGGGATAGGCTGACCAGAGGTCAAAGGTCAGTGTGTGCAGCTGCTCAGCGTCTTTACGGGCACTGGAGCAGGAAGTTCAGCCTCCTGATGTCTCCTCATTTCCTCTGTCGCTCTGATGGCAGCATCAGTGTTTACCAGCTCACATCGTTTTAACAAGCAGAGACCATAAAACTCATCTGCCGCTGCTTCCTGTGCAGCTCTAACAGGACGGGTCTCGTCCTCACCGCCGCCGCCGCCCTGCAGTTAAAATGACCAGATTTAAACTCAGAGCTTAACCTGTTTGAGCTCGACACACAACCGAGTGAGTTCACAGAGGAGAGGTGAGCTAAGGAACCAGACTGTGGGATCAAACTGCTTTTAAAGAGCAGGCTGGGTGAAATCTGTCCGATGTGCTGTGTTTACACTGCAAACACAACGAGTGAAGCAGGAACGCCACAATCAGTCACAACCACGATAAACACAGACCTCTTTACTCCAGCTGTTAAAGACTAACCTGCTGCTTCTTCCAGCATCAAAACAATTAAACATGTGACCTCAGGATGTACTTGTCTTACACATGATGCCGATAACGAGGCTCTTTTCAGAATAAAAGCATCTCCTTTCTTCTGGGAGTGTTTGTGAAGAAGCGTGAGGATTAGGCAAATGAAGCGATCAGGGATTAAAGAGCGTGTGTGTGTGTGATGCACAGTCATGGTGGCGCTTCTCTGGATTTAATGTTGTGTAAGCAAGATGATTGGATGTGAAGTTGGAAACGGAGAAAACGCTGGAAGCTGAAAATGTTTCACTGAATTCTTTCAGACCAAATGTTGAGTTCACAAGTTTCATCTGCTGTTGGAAACCGTCAATGTAATTCAATACTGACCATCTCGTCAGACGAGCAGATTATCATCACACTGCAGAAACACATTGTTTACATTTCCACAGCGCTGATTCACAGAGAGGGACATGTCTCACTGTTAGAGACAGCAGGAGGAGTTTTATACTCAGAAAACACACTAAGGCCTGTGTCCACCTGGCGTGTTTTCCAGCAGAAAAGCACTGGCTGTGAACTCAGAGCGCTCTGATGAAGCGCTGCAGGTAAGGAGAAGTGAAAGTCGGCTTTAATAAGGTCGTGTAGGAGAAAACTTTAATGGAATCAGGTCATGAATGCAGCTTGTAGAGGCTTCAGGCTACAAAATAAAGGTTAAACAGATGATACCTTTCAAAATAAAACGTAACCTTTTAAAAGTCCTTCTAAAAGTTGGAGCAAAGTGGCAACACTCTGTCTTGATGTATTCAAGGATCATTTCCTCAGAATGTCCTGCCCCTCCTGTTCATAGGCTCTGCCTCCTACAGTGAATGTAAGCGGCAGGAATGTGGACACCTTGGCGCATTTCTGTTCTCCTGCAGGAGTTTGTGTGTTCAGCTCTTATCAGGAGCTCTGACAGAGTCATGCTGAAGGCATCCAGTGTCACACCGCAACAAGTCAGAGCAGAGCAAACACTGAGTGTACTGAGAGCCACGCACACGCCGAACGAAGACAGGAACATCCAGCATTTCACACATTCATCACAACTTGAACTCTACTCTGAAACACACACGCTCAATATGATGCGAGATGTGTAGTGAGTGAAATGATAAAGTGAGCTTACTATATGATCAGACATTAAGGAAACATGATATGTTGAAGTGCTGGCTTCTCTGACAACAATGCAGCAGCCAGTATGTCCTCCTTCTAACTTTAGATTCTGGTCCTGAATGCTCTGGATTTGTTTGGACCAGACAAGGTAGGAGGTTTTAAGGCAGTTTGTGTGATTTAGACAGAGCTTCCTGTCTTGCTCTCGGGACGTCGTATATGCTTGTACCTCGGGGTTCATGTTGACGACACAGTCAGCTGGAGGATGTTGAGAGTCTATGCTCCAGACAGCGTGTGTACTTCTTACGCAGACTGAGAGTCTTTGGAGCTCAGCAGAAATTCATGTTAATGTTTTTTAAAAGTTTTATCAGACACAGGGAGACCGCCTCGGCTGGTCACTTGTCCGTCTGTCTCGTCTTAGCAGTGCTAAGGCCCTCACGGTTAAATAAACACCTATCTCTCCAAACACTATGAGCAGTCTGTAGTTAGAAAGGCGCATAACAAAGTGTCTGATCCGACCGACATTCTTCACTCTGAGTTTCATCTTTAACCCTCTGAGAGCAGATTCAGGGTCCCTCAGAGCGGGCTGACCCGCTACAAACATTCATCTGGCCAATAACAGGTTATGTTATTTTCCTTTGTGTGCTGGAGCAGCAGGCTGAGGGTAGCGGACTCCAACAGACTCAACAAACTGATCCACTAGGCCAGCAATGTTGTTGGGTGGAGCTGGACTCTCTGACAGCGCTGTCGGAGAGGAGGGTGCTGTCTAAGGCTTAGTCCTCCATGTTTTTAAACTGAGGTTTCCTCTTTCATTCTAAAGAATTGTCCCGTCCACACACTCTCAGTTATGAAAAAAAAAAAAACATGTTCTCGCTATTCCACTGCACTGACCATTTCATTATCAATGTTGTCCAACCAACCCAAAGTCTGACCAGGTCTTGCCCGAAACACTCCTAAACGTTGACTGTGAGGTTTGTGTCGTCAGTTGTATGAAGCAGCAGTGACCTCCATCGTCCAATCAGGCGTCTCTGCTCGTCAACATAGTGGGAGAGTAACTTTGTGTGTCTGTGTGAGCGTGAAAAAGTCCAGTTAGCATCATTAACACCAGCACTAGTTCTTATCTGATTTTTTGGTTAATCATAATCCGCTTTATTTGCCAGGTACGCTCTCTCACAGACCTGGAGAGTTAGACTTTGATTGAACATGGACTTGAGCTTGTATATTTCTTTTCTAATCTTCTGACTACTCAAAGCTCTGTCACACCTACACATTCACAACCTGATGGTAGAGGCTGCTGTGTAAAGAGTCCGTCAGTATTAACTCATACACATTCACACACCGCTGACAAATCAACAGGGGCAACTCGGGGTAAAGTGTCTTGCCATTAACCAGACTTTCCGGTTGACAGACAACGGCCTCTGAAAACTAAGCCACAGCCCAGGATTACCTGTCCTCTCCGTGTACAAAAGTATAACTATTAACAATAAACAAACAAAGACTAATATTCAAGACTTCATCAGAATGATACGCTGGTGGCGGGGCGCTCCTCTGTTTGAGGCTCTATGTGCGCTCCATTCATTGAACTTTTGGTTTGATTTGATGAGTCTAATGGGTGAGCATTATGTCATGGACAGTCACATTTTCATCTTGAACCCTGATTAGGTACCAGAGGTGTTAATTAACATGAGGACGATACTTATTACAGTGCATAGTAGTACAGTATAAGACATTATAGAGACTTTACATTAAAGCAGTGAGAGTAGATATCAGATGAGGAAGATAATAATAAGACATAAAAACATGACGTATGCATTGAAATATGCATTAACATACTATCGCTCATTAATAAAACAGAGACCACATGGTGTTAAAACACGTGGTATTAAAAGAGTGTCGAAGTATCGATGGTTTTAAGTCGTATAAAGTTACATCTTGACAGCTAGCTATGATGCTAACAGCTAGCTCTACTCGTGCTAACGGTAACCCAACAATCCGGTGTTATGCCGAGAAATGTATCCCTGCCAAGAATTGCATGCACCTCGCGGGAGTGTTAGAAACCGGTTTAAATGTTATAGCTGTTGGCAGATCTGTGATGACAAAGTATGTTAAGTTTATACTCAATAAACGTGAGGTGTCCTTAATGTTCTGTACAATCAGTAGAAGACGAACTTTCATTAGCCTGCGTAAATATGACCTGCCGAAAGTGTTGACTCTGATATGTCTTCAGACTAAATGTAAGGGTTAATGCAAAATACGGCATTAAAGTATTTTAAGGGTGGATTCAAAATTCAGCATTGTGTCTGCCATATTTTACATTGTATAACGAGGTGCACGCAATCTCGGCAGGGATGCATTTCTCGGCATAACACCCCGCTAGCTTAGCAGCTTTAGCCCACTGGATTACAAGCGGTTGGTTATATAAATAAACGTCAGTTCACTTAGTAAATAAGTTGTTTATAAACTCTTAAGTTTAGAGGAATGGACATAACGGTAACAACATGTATAACAGCTGGAGCTTCCTTTAACAGGTAGTGTTTAATGGGACGGTTGTTGTTGTTGTTCTTGGTTAGCGGCAGTGCTAGGCTAAGTGTGCTAACCTGGAGCTCGGCCCTCTCCACTTCCCAGTGCGCCCGCTCCATCTCGAACCGGGCCCACTCGTGCTGGATGTAGTGCAGGATGCCGGGGATGGTGTACTGCTGCTGCGGCCGGGGCAGCTCGTCCGGTTGGTGCGGCACCATGACTCCTCCGATCGGCTGGTTAGCGCTGCTGTTGCTCCCCCTGCTGCTGCTGCTGCTGCTGAGGCGGCGGAGGCTGTCTCGGGGTTCCTGCTCCGACCCCTCCTCCGCCGGGATGCTCGTCCATGTTTTTTTTTTTTTTTTTTTTTTAGAAAAGTAGAAGGAAAGTCCCGGGCAGTAACGGTCCGCTGAAGGATTCCCGTACCCCCTGAAGCCCGTGTCTCCGCTCCGTGTCTGTCACGCTGGCTCCGCCGCGATATGTGAGGCTGGCTGCCCACGGAGGGCGGCGGTGAGAGCGGCTGATTGCGGACTCGGTGTTTCTATGTGGATCTATCCGGCCGCCATTACTGCTCTCTCTCTCTCCCTGGATGAGACGATCACGGAGGGAGAACCCGGTCGCACTGCATGACGGGAAAAAGCTATCCTGTCATCCACATCCACTATGTTACATTCAGGACACAAGGAGAATGTAGGAAATCATAACACTATGTGGATTCACAGCGGGGTTTTTTTTTTATCTGCATGGCACTCACATCTTCCAGAATACATGTTTAAAAAGACACAAGTGCATTTGCAAAACCGTTAAGATAAAAGCACAGACAAATTAAACAATATCAATGTTAAAATAAAGTTTATAACTTAAAGAGTTGGGCTCTTCTTGTAATTTGTATTCAGGTCCTTGCATTTTACTTTCTCATGACTTTAACGTATTTAATGTGAGACAGAAACTCGTTAAAAAGACAGAACAGGTTAGAAAAAAATTACGTTTTAATTTACGAACTTAATCTCGCAAAACTACGATTTTATTTTTGTAAATTTAAAACTTTATTCTCAATACATGTATGACTTAATTCTTGTAACTCTATGACTCTAATCTTGTTAATTTATAACTGTATTCCTGTTAATTTAACTTTATTCTCGTTCATCAAAGATGTCTTATGTCTAACAATACTCTGTCCTCAAGCTTTTGTAACATTTTTTTTTTACTCTTCACAGAAAAAATAAAACAATTTTGGTGATATGTTATGTGAAGTGTTTAAAGTGTGGTGTTATCTTGTTGGCTCATCTTCATATTAATTCATATTTAAATAACATTAAGGATACCAGAACCTTACACAACTTAAATCCACATTTATCAGGGAAAATATTAACTATGAGGCCACCTAGTGGTCACTTTAACAAAACACAGTTTGTTGTTATTATTTTTTTTTTCTCTAATTGTTTGTTATAGAATATAGACGAAAGGCCGGTCCGAAGAAAGGTGGTAGAATTTCCTATTTACCATATATCATGTGAACGCACCAGTTGAGTGCTGTTCTGAGCATGCGCCATGCTAACAGTTCTGGCTAACTTGAGAACTGAAACCTCCTGTCGGTTTTATCGTCATTAATCTTCAGTGTCGCTCTAATTTACCCGTAAACACAGTAACGACTGCCTCTCCTCGTTTTATATGAATAAACTTAAAACTAGCTAACTGTTGTTGTTAGCCCGTGTGATGGGACTCAGTGAGCCAACGCTCAGCTAACAAGCGGCCGGTGAGTCAAACGATAATATTTATGATGAATGCTGAAGGTTTACAGGTAGATTATTAAAGGGTAACGAAACCTCTACCCGGTTTATCGGTTAATATTGAGTTCGACTGCATGCTGCCTTCAGGTACCCCTCGGACACTGTATAATCTCAATAACGGAGTCCGTGAACGCCACATCCATCAGTCATTTTTTTTTTACCAGTATTGTGAGATATGTTAATCTAAAACACACGTGTGTGTGTGTGTGTGTGTGTGTGTGTGTGTGTGTGTGTGTGTGTGTGTGTGTGTGTGTGTGTGTGTGTGTGTGTGTGTGTGTGTGTGTGTGTGTGTGTGTGTGTGTGTGTGTGTAGCCAGCTGATCTCAGTATGATCAAGTTCATACTGATGGTGAACCGTCAGGGTCAGACCAGACTGTCCAGGTATTACACTCCTGTGGAGCTGAACCGGAGAGCCACGCTGGAGGCCGACGTGGTGCGCTGCTGCCTGAGTCGCAAAAAGGACCAGGTGAATTTCTGTTCACCTGTCTGTCTATCTCTGTCTATTTGTCTGTCTGTTCACCTGTCTGTCTCTCTCTGTCTATCTTTCTGTCTGTTCACCTGTCTGTCTGTCTGTCTCTCTCTCTCTGTCCATCTGTTCACCTGCCTGTCTGTCTGTGTGTCTGTGAGGTGATACCGGTGGATCAGAGTATGACTCTGTGTTTTTGTTTCAGTGTTCGTTTGTGGAGTACAAAGACTATAAGCTGGTTTACCGTCAGTACGCCGCTCTCTACATCGTGGTCGGCGTCACAGACAGCGAGGTGAGAAACACACCTGCACCTGTGACCACTGACTCTTAAAGGGACAGTGCAACAGTTTGATATATTTATTATTCCATCATAACGAGTTAATTTCTCGAGGAAACAGAAATGTACTCGTTATTACGGGAGGGAGTAAAATAAAATGTTCGGATGGATGTCCACAACTATAAATTAGGAAATATCCAACCGGCCAAAGAGCACCTGAACGCAGCATGAACACAGCACTAAAGTGAAGGTGATATTAGTTTGATACAGTGAGTAATGCTCAAGTCTGTTTGCTCTCCACAGAACGAGCTGTCCGTTTACGAGCTGGTTCATAACTTTGTGGAGGTTTTGGATAAATACTTCAGCCGGGTGGTGAGTTCAATGTTTTCTAATCGAGGTTTTTTACAGCTTCAGATTAATGAAAACGTATTTCTGACTTTGTCTGTGTCTGTGTGTCCCTGCAGAGCGAGCTTGACGTATCCTTACCTCTGAACACAGCATAGATGCTGCATGAGCTTAAAAACGAATGATATCGACACGTCTGAAACCACTATTTTCATTAAAAATATGTTGTCATGACGACCCTTCAATCTTTAAGTAATGAATCTAATTAGTTGAAATTGTTTTTATTGGTTGATAGCTAATCATTAATGGTGGCAGCTCTTCCTGGTGGTTTTGTTTCTTTGACTCCGCCCCCTCATCAGATCATGTTCAACCTGGACCGGGTCCACGTCATCCTGGACGAGATGATCCAGAACGGACACATCGTGGAAACCAATAAGAGCCGGATCCTCGCGCCGCTCACCGCCCTCGACAAGATGGCTGACGGCTAAGATTCTCCACTTGTGATGTCACAGGCGGTTTCAATCCTACATCTGCTGAGCGGGAGTCGAACCTGTGACATCACTATGAGTCGGTTTGAATTTACAGTCAGCGTGAAGGTGCCAAAATATCAACGTCAGCGTCTGAGGCTCAGTGTTGACGGCTCAAGTGTTGACGACTGAAACTCTCTGATGCACACTCAGCACTTTCTCGTGTCTGCGTCCTAACCTTCTCGTGAGCACTGTGAACTTTCTCGTGCTCGTGGGAAAGTTTCGGTCGTGCATGAGAAAAATGTCCATGCACACCTGAAACGTATTTCCTTCCCTTGTTCTGCTCGTGTCCTTTCAGGGCCTCCGTATCGTTCTGAAGCCGACAGATAGAATCAAAAGAAGTTTTTGTACAAAGTTTTTATGATGAGGCTAAAAATATTAAAAAACGTCCTTCATAATTTATCTGTAAATTTGGACTGAACTTTTTAAGATGATTAAAATGATAAAAACTGAGTTTTTGGAGTTTTTGGACTTTGTGTTTCTTTGTCACATTTCTTCATCTGACACCATACAAAAACTAAAAAGCATCCAAATGAATATTGTCTCAGGTTTGCCTTGGTCTCGGTTAGTCTGGTCTTCACTGCAGCACTAGTGTCCACACTCTGCACTTTGGGTGCCATGTGTTACATTCATAGCTCCCGTCTGCCCCCTGCTGGCAGCTTGTGGAGCTGCATGCTGTTCGTCCACACAGACCACAGGAGGCGTCTTTACTTCATACTTTGCAAACATTTTAATGATTATTTTTTTGGAGCATACACATTTGAAAATATCTGTTTACCTCAAACTGCAACTTGAGTTAAATAAATGTTTATAATATACAAAGAAAATACAAGGAGAGCAGAGCTTTGACATTTGTTTTCTTCTCTTCAGATGTGCCTCGCACACAGCCAGTGTTTGTCTCTACAGCGTCATCGTAAAAGAACACCAAATGCACTCCGACGTTTGACCTCTACAGCCGGTCAGAAACAACCCAAAAACTGTCGCACGCACACACACACACAAACAAAAAGCAATAAAACAAAATAAAAACAAAAAGAGGAGGAGGAGCATGATTGTTTGAAAGAGGAACTGAAACAAAAGCTACGAGTCAAACCAGGCACTAAACCGAGGAGACAGGAGGAGGAGGAGGAGGAGGGACACACACACACACACACACACACACAGCAGCTCAGGTGAGGACGACGATGAAGATGAAGGAGGCGAGGGAAGGAGGCAGCGGTTAAGGATGTGACTTTATTCTGCAACATAAACCCTCCTCTTCGTCCTGCAGCAGGCGGTCAGTCGCTCAGTCAGTCAGTCAGTCAGTCGGCTGGTTGTTGATTGGCTGGCTGATCTGTCAATCACGCGGCGGCGGGTGGCAACACGGACTCTTGGAGCATGCTCAGTGTGGCGGGTGGCGGCGGCGGAGGAGGAGGAGGCGGTCAGTTGAGGTGGAAGCCTTTCTCCATGGTGGCGGCTAACAGACGTTCCCTCATGATGTCCTCAGAGGAATATTCTGGAAGCTTCAGGTAGTGAACACATGTGTTGACCGATGGGTAACTTGAGTCTGTGGCGTCCACCTGCAGGAGGAGAGAGGAGGAGGAGGGGGGGAATCAGAATCAAACATCAACCAAACATCTTACTTGGATGGAGAATAAAGCTGCACATTCCGATTCTTCCAGTTATTGATCAAAGGGTCAGAGACGAGTTTACCTTCCTGACGATGGTGAGGCGGGGGTGCAGGTTAGCGAGGCCACCGGGGGGCAGCGTGGAGCAGCCGGTGGTGAACTGCAGGAACGCTTTCCTCTCGTCGGACGACATCCCGCAGAGAACTCTAACGAACCGCAGGAAGCCGGGACTGAGGGGGCAGGACAAAGTCAATGTCAGAACAGGAAGTGATTTTAATATCATGAACACATGTCTGAGACTCACCTGTCTCTGGTGTAACCCAGCTTTGGCTCTGTGTAGTTGACGATGTCATCAGTAGTCCAGGAAGGTGATTGGTTACCGCAGAGGATCATCTGAACCTCCTTATGGCTGAAAGAGCTCAACTTCTCCATCGGAAATACTCGATTAAATCCCTCTGAGGAGGAGGAGGCAAGGAAGGAAAGGAGGAGAGAAGGAAACAAAGGAGAGGAGAGGAGTCAGTATTTCTATAACGAACTGAGGTAAGACCGTCACCTTCGGGTGGTTTTTCTTGCCACTTGTGTGCACGGGTTTGTGTGTGTGTGTGTGTGTGTGTGTGTGTGTGTGTGTGTGTGTGTGTGTGTGTGTGTGTGTGTGTGTGTGTGTGTACCTCTGAAAGCCTCCATCTGTTTCTGGATGCCCGTGTGCATACAAAAGTCAAACATCAGCTCCACGTACTCCTCAGAGTTCTCCATGGTCACCATCTACACACACACACCAAACACAAACGATCGCCATCATCAAAACCGCCATCTTTGTTTTCTCCAGTCTGTTTTAGTCGTCTGCATGGTCAGATGTTTTACCTCGTCATCTCCGTTTGTTTTCAGATCCACAGCTGAGAACCCGTGAACCTTGGAGGATGGACAGAACTGGAAGTTCAGCCTGCAGACAAAGAGAACCATTAAAGATGAGAGTTTTCCTTTGAGACGTTTGAAAGATTGAAACAAGTATATTAAAGAAGGTCAAAAAAGTTTAATGTCTCAAGAAACTGAACCTGTCCGTTCTTCTTTCTGCCTTAAAAGGTAACAACAACATGTCTGTGTACGTTGTTTGTTTGCCACTCTCGACGTATGAAGACGATTCTCTTCTTTACAAAACGTTTGTTAAACTTATCATTACTCTGTGAAGACTTCTTGCTACGGAGCTGTGTGACAAATAAGACAAGCCTGATCTTTACTCGACTATAATGCTTTTATTTTGAAGGTGAAAATGTGTCTTTAAATCTCTTCTTTTTTTTTTCTGGTTTGAACTTCATGCTCCTCGACTCTCTGAAACACACCACGAGCAACTGTGAGTGTGACTATGGTGTGTGTGTGTGTGTGTGTGTTTCGTACCCAAGGTCCTCGACGCTGAGGGGGGGTCCGGAGCCCAGCGGGTTCCTCAGCATCAGGTCCTGCAGTCGGGTGTTCTTCTCGTCTTCACTCAAACTCTTACTGGACAGAATCTGCCTCCTCTTCACCGCCAGCTCCTTCACCTCCTTCAGGAAACTCGCCCTGCACGAGGAGGAGGAGGAAGAGGAGGAGGAGGAGGAGGAGGAAGAAGAAAAGGAGGAGGAGAGAGGAGGAGGAAGAGAAAGAAGGTTGGATCAGTTATCACTATCAATGTTTGAAAGAAAGAAAAAAAAAGGAACACTGCGTCGTCGTGTTTCTTGACTTAAGCCCCGCCTCCCTGCCTCACCTGTGCGGGTTGACGAGCTGGAAGTCATCCCAGGTGAGGATGCCGTGGTACCAGGCGGGCGGTTTGGGTTTGGGGGGGTCCATGATGAACTCGGACTTGGAGTCCTCGTCGAAGCTGCCCACAGAGTACGTCTCCTGGCTCTCCTCGGTGGACGCCTCCGACGTCATCTCAGACAGCAGCAGGAAGGGCGTCAGGTGTTGGCGCTCGGGGTCGTGGGCGGAGCTACGCGACTGGTACAGCAGCTTGCTCATGTTGGACTTGATGTCGCCCATGCAGAGCAGCTTGAAGAAGGGCTGCGACACGGGTAGGTCCACCAGACGGTTGTCCTGGATGCACTTGGCAAGGAAGACGCCCAGGAAGTGGAAGAGCTTGGTGTTACGCTCCAACTCCTCACTGTCCTGAGGGAACGGGGCGGGGAATAGACCGCAGGAGCGCTGCACGTAGAACCCGGGAGGCTTCAGACCACCGCCAAGGTCCACCTGAGATGCACAGACAGAGGATCAGACTTTAGAGAGGAGGATTACAAGACCTGAACCGAGCTACCAGAATTGAAACTTCCAAAGGATTCCAATAAAAATCAAAACCATGGCAACAACATCAGAAGGTCCATATTTACTAACACAGGTGTGAACCAGGCAGACTTAAAACAGTTTGTCTGCATGATGTCAAATCATCATTTCTAAAGTTAGTCCAGTATACATGAACGACCCTACTAGTGGCAACAGATGGAACTACAACTTGAGAAATCAAACTGGATGTGCCGTGTCTCACCTGTCGGGACTCATCGTCGGGGAAGTCGTCATCACACAGCCAGATCCCCAGAGATGTTCTCTGAAACTCTGCAGCCACCAGAGCGTAAAACTCTAGAGTGGGACCCAGACCCGTCCCCTCCTCGCCCTGAAACTCCACCTGCAGACAAACACAAACACACTCGATGTTCAGGTGTAACGATTCACAGGAAAAGGACTTTCAAAGAAGAACAACAGAAGATCATCATCGAGGAAATACAAGAAACTCAAAGTGCTGATAAAGACGGACTCTGCCCGAGTGACCCGGATAAAAAACAGAGACTGTGAGTCTTGAGTCGCTGCTTCACCCTCTCACCTCCAGAACAGACTTCCTGTCCGCGTGCAGCTGCATCACAGACTCCGCCCACTCCATCATGGCTTCTCCTCGGGGGACTTTGACTCGCTCGTGTTTCAGTCGACCCACCCGAAACTCCCCGGGGTCGTCCCGCCTCACCGTAGTGGACGGCCGTGAACGCTCCATGGTCGCCTCGCGTCGGTTCTGCAGCCACACGATCGCCCTGCACAAAATAAACACACACACAAGTCAGGGTCCGAAGGGTCTAAAATGTGAGCGGAGGGAATGTCAGATTAATTTCTTGTTAATATATTTATAAAAAATTTAAAAAGATATTCATTTAACTAAGAATGACAGAAAAAGACAACAAAGAAAAACTCAGAAGACTTTGTTTCCTCAGTTAAAACTTAAATGTGAACTGAAATCAGAAACTTTAACAAACCTCCAGGTTTTGAGGAAATGTTTGGAAAGAGTCTCTCTAACAGCTTCACTCCCTTTATTATCAATAAAACTATGAAATCTTAGTTTTTACAAACTAAAAACGACGCACCGATTGTGAAATTCCGTCAGACACCGATGTTTGAAATAATAATTTAGCTGACAACAGAAGAAGTCATGAATATTTGACAGACTGCCACACTGCCAACATTTTCTCTCACATTTGATGATGAAAACAGATCAGAGTTTGTCCAACAGGGAAATCAAAAACCTCTTCTCTGAATCAGTGGTTAGAGGAACGAGACGGCAGCATTAAACTGATACAACACGACAGATAATCATCGGATACTGACACATCGGTGTCTGCTAACAGGACCGATACCGAGGTCATTCCCCCAGTTTATAAAATGACCCAGGATTCATTTACTGTTCATCATCTCGACTCTTTCATCTTCTCTTTAGACTCACCTGGATGCCCCGAACGCCGTGCAGGTGAAGTAAAGCTGTCGGGTCTCAAATGGGATGAGGAAAGGACACTTAGAGGTGAGCTGCTCACACCACTCGGGCAGAGCTCCGCTGGCCAGAGCGAGA